TATTGTTGAAGTTAACGTTCGTTCGTTATAGTGTTTGTTTTAGTGCGAATATTGAAAATAAGTGTATCGTAAAGTTGTATTCGGAAAGAATAAACCAGTTTTATTAAGTAAGGACTTGTATCGTTAAAGTTTCGTCGGAACGAAGTTACGGAAAAATCAATTAACAAACGGAGACGTAAAAATACCTTAAACTAATAATCTGAGTGAAGCCTGGTACTTTCGCTAGTTCATAAATGAATTGTGGAAGTCTGAAGTTCAAGAAAAGAAATATTGTGTAAGTTATTTGTGACACGGATTGAAATATACCTAATTTTTATATATTGTAAGTTCTTAAAAACTTGTGTATTTTGAACAAAGATATTAAATTAATTACAAACATAAACAGTATACATCTCCACGTGTATTGTGTTTAGTTATTATAAGTAGTCTTATTAACTGAATGTGCACTGGATCATTAAAAAAATTCAGATATATTACCAAAGTATTTGCACTAAAGATATGTCTGTGAATTTATGACATCAGTCTGACTCAGGCTCTGACAAACCAGAAGAATCAAAATACTTTAATCCATCGTACAGTTTGTATAACCTCTAGAACCTCCAAAGTTCATATCTATAGTTTTTTAAGTATCCCTGTATATATATTGTCTCTGGTATTTACTCTCCTCTACCACAATCTGTCATTAAATCAGCAATGTAGAGTACAATGAATTGTTAAAACTCTGACATCAAATACATAATACTATGTTGAATGACATGCTTGGAAAGGTAGCATGTGCACTCTGACTCCCATTTGTGCACAGAGGGCTAATTCAGTAATGATTACAACTAATACAATCTATACACTATAATTATTTATCTTTCTAATAATTGTTTATCTTTGTCATATTTTTATTCAGTTATTATATTTATAAAGCATATTCTTGGTACAGATAAGTGTTAAAAATAATTGAATATTTTTATTCAAATCAAAATGCTAACATTTATTTACAATTTCATGTGGCTTATGAATAAATATGGAAAGATCCTAATGTAAACTAGTAGCTCTGTGTTCTTGACTGGTAGAGCCTGCTGGACCTGGGAAGCTCTCCAAACTATAAAGATAACCGAGGACTGACTGCTCTCTACTACAGTGTGTTCTATGGTTGTGACCCAAAGCTGACAGAGCTTTTGTTACATGATCATGCAATCTTTGGTATAGCTGATCATCAAGGATGGCAAGAAGTTCACCAGGTTTGTATATTAGTATATATGCATATACTGTTAGATGTCCTCGGAAATAATACCATCCTAGCTGACTTTTGAGAAATGTTTAAGACAAAAATATTTCCCCCTTTTGTGTTAACATTTTAATTACAATGTGGGTAGTATTAAAATGTGTTGTTTCTTAAATGTGTAATTCAAATATGCAAACAAGTTAGTTTCCCAACATGTATTTCATAGTGAATTAATTTAAGATATTTTTCAGATTAACTTAAGAGATATATATATATTCCCAGGTATTTAAAGTAACTGAATTTCCTCAAGAAATGACTCGTTAAAATGGAGGTTTTCAAACGAATGAAATTAATCATGATCTTGAATATAATTGACCAAAACGTAATTTCAGAAACTTAGCAGAATATTGAATGAAATATTTTGGGGATTATAGTGAGAACAGAACATTTGATGTAAATTTTGTGTTTAAGTATGCTACATTTATACGTTACATTCAAATGTAATTGATCTTTTTTTTTACATTTTTCTGTTGAGATTATGGAGCTATGCAACTAAGTAATTACTGGGTTTTTGTTACATATTGAACTCTCTCTGCACAATCTTTTATTAGAGATTAAGAGTTTAAATTCAAATAAAAAAAATAAGGCTGAAATTTACTAATTGGTTTGCTGTTGTTAATACACTAGTTCTTTCAACAGTGATTGGAAGGATAAATAGAGTCAGGGTATCTCCACAATTATTTGAGAGCTATGGTTTGAGTTAGTCTTTTCCAAAATTGTACCTTTTGTAATTCCTGCATCTGACATAGTTTTGGTTTGTGTAGTTTGTTTCTTGTTAAGGTGTGATGTGTTTAATCTAGATTCTCTTCACTTTTTTTTGTGGTACTTACATTTATTGCCCACTCTTACAACCTGTTGCAGTTCTATTAAACAAGTGATAATTTTGTATGTATATTTTATAAGATTTATGACTTAATATGCAAGAAACTGATGCTGTTAGAAACAACAACTTTCTAGGTGATTCTGGATTTTATCCCAATCTAACTGGCTTGCACTTGTATTAACATGGGTGAAGGTTATTTGGATGATTATATTAGGCAATATGTTGGTGGGTGGCATAGTTCTGTGTTAATTAGTACAAAAAGATAAATACCATGACAGATGGAGATTGGGTGACTATATTATGATCTATATGGGAGAGTAGTATATTTCTATGTTTATTGTTACTGAAAGATAACTGATGGGTAGTATAGTTCTAAGTTAATTAGTCCAAGTTGTACAATTTTGGCTTGTTTAGTTTGTTTTTTATATTAAAGTGAGATCTGCTATATAAATAGTTATTGCTAAAATTGTTGTTTTTTTCTTTTAGGCTTGCAAGCATGGTTTAGTTCAGCATTTAGAGAATCTTCTGTTTTATGGAGCAGACATAAACTCTCGCAATGCTAGTGGTAACACTCCTCTTCATGTATGTGCAGTAAATGATCAAGAAAGCTGTGCTCGAGTACTTCTGTTTCGGGGTGCTGATAAAAATGCTTTGAATTATGCTAACCAAAATCCTTACCAGGTGGCAGTAATAGCTGGAAATCATCACATGGCTGAATTAATAGAAAAACACAGACCTGAAGATGTGGGTAAGTGTAGCACAGATTCAGAAAATTAAAAACTAATATAATTCTATTTATAGTAATAAATATGCAAGAAACATAATAATGATTTGTATTACCAAGTTGAGAGTATGTGCTAGAAAATTGAAATTTTGTTTTTAACTGAACTGTATTTGGTTTTAAACAGAAGTACATGTTTAGAAACTTATCTTTGTTTAGGAATTAGTTCTTACTTCAAAATTCAGAACTAAAGTGGTTGTGGAAAACTATTAAATGTGTTTGTATAT